ACGACCTTGTTTTATTAGCATCTTCTGAAACTGATCTCCGGTGCTCCTTAGAAAGGTTCGCAGCCGAGTGGACGTGACCGGCATGCGGGTGAACACATCTAAAACGAAAAGCCTAGTGCTTTCTCGTTCTCCTGCCCGTTGCTCTCTTCAGATTAGCGGAGAGGCAGCAAAGCAAGTGAAGAAGTTCAAGTACCTCAGAGTAGTATTTACGAGGTAATAGAAAATTCGAGTAGATTGACCGGCAAATTGGAGTAGCAGTGGCGTTCTGCGTGAATTAGCCCGAATCATTGTGACTAAAGCAGAGCTTGGTCTGGAAACTAAGCTCTCATTATTCAAATCGATCTTTATGCCACTGCTTACATACGGTCATGAGTCGAGGACTATGACTGAAGAACTTCGAGCCCGGGTACACGTTGCTGAAATGGGGTTTCTGTGATGAGTCGCTGGCGTTACGCGTCTCGAATGATCCGGAATACAGCCAACCGCGAGAGCATCGGTATACAACCGCTGATTTTCAGACTGAGAGGTCACAAGTGCCATGGTTCGGAGATGAGTTATAAATGTGTTCAGAAAGGAGGTGAAGCGACTATTTCTTGCCCAGCCGAGCGGCAGAAAGCCGACGGCACAGCGGCAAGATTAACGTGGTGCAAATATCTGGAACGACTCTGCGCTAGACTCTAGTTGTGTTCTACCGAAGAACAACGTCTGTCATAGAATCGGAAACGTTGGAAGCACTGCCCCAGGGACTCGAAAGGAAAAGTTGTCGTAATTGTAAAAGCATGGAGGTCACGTGCTGTGTCGTGCTGTTTCATACCGTTTCTCACAGCCTCTTCACCTTCCATCGCCGCTTCTCCTTTCGGGTCGCGGAGGCGAACCGTTTCCGTTTAAGCCGTTTCTCACAGCTTTAAATCGTATGTCTTTGTTTTATTGAGTTTTTCAGAAAGTCGTCATTATAGTTTAAATATGTTTAGCATATGAGCATTCTGAGCAAATTCTCGACAGCTCAGTTCCACTATTATGTTTTCATCGCTTCCCTAGTTATGCCTCTTCTAATGAAACACCTTGAATGTGTTGCATAATGAAAACGTAACAAATTCAATACTTACGATCGTGGAGAAATTTGGTCGCAGAAATGGCCACGGTTTCACTTTGAGGACGATTAGCTCTGGAAGCGACAGAATGAGGCCTACGATCCAAGTGAAAGCTAGCAGAAGTTTCGTTCTCAGTAAAGAATGCTTAAACATGAGGGGGCGGCATATGGCATACCACCGTTCCACAGAAATTGTAGATAAGGTAATGATCGATACGGTGACGGACACGGTCTGCAAGAAAACGACGAGATTAAGGTATGAGATGAGAAAATTAAATCAGCCTCCTTTCCGCAACACGTAACCAAAGCCGTACCTGAGTGTAGAGAATGAGTTTGCATACGGCGGTGCCAAACCACCACGTCTTCGTAATATCCCAAAGGATTGTGAACGGCAAACAGAAGAGGAGGAACAAGAAATCGGCGAAGGCAAGGTTCAGCAGGAACATGTTTGTCACCGTCTTCATGTGGTTGTCACACAGGACGATCAGGATGACGAGAAAGTTGCCGACGAGACCGACGAGCAGCAGCATAGCAAATATCGGCACAAAGATCAGCTCAACAAAATTCGGCTTAATCACCTCCCACACGTACATCTCGTAATCCGCGTCCGTATATTGAGTGACAACGTCTAGACTTGACTCGTTTACATGATAAGCAGTGCTATCGTCCATGATCGAGGTGTTCAAAGCATTTTACATTGGCGACGTCGATGTTCACACGTTATGGTACACAGATTTAGGAAGCAGACGGCTCATCTCTGGTCATGACGATCTTCTTGAAATCAAAATAACGAATGAGCCTGATCCAAATGTAAAAATTCCAATGAAAAAGAGACGTTCTAAAAATAGATGCCATATATTGTTGCAATGCACTATTTACATATAGTGTACAGACCGAAAAGGTAAACATGCAAATAACTTCCAATTAAGTGCTCGCAAATCACTCGACTTTTCGCGTCGTCATGCTTAAGCGAGTGTGCGGTGAACAAGATTAAAGAACAGCTCATTCTCTGTCATGCGATAATTTCAATCTAACACGTTTTTCCTTTTAATGTACCACACGCTGTTACTCACAACGTTTTAATAGAAACGTACGCCGTTTATTTCAGCTATCGATGCGAGGTCACTGAAGCAAAGCTCATGTCGAATCTGCATTTCAAAGAAGTTTCTTACTCATGAAACGGAAGCGAAATTTTGGTTGCCATTAATTAAGATTTCATTGCTTGAGTGGCCTCACAGATGAACACAGTTTTTCGACATTCAAGCAAAAAGTTGATTACTAAAGAAAAGAAAAAATGTGCCATAGCATAAATTCACAGCATAAGATTTCAACAAGCCAATGCTGGCTTAGTTTTACCCACTAACAGAGAATAAAGCAAAATAGATGTAAAGGTAAATCAAATAACAAAAAGGAATAACTAAGAACAGAGAAACAGCACTATAGACTACACTGAGGAAGTCAAATCACAATGCTTAGAAGCTTGACAGCTCTGAAAACGGGCGTTGAGGTATCCAGAATACATGAGGTATGGGCATATGAGGTATTCAGGACTCAATCCTCACGAAACTGTTGTTAAAAATGACTCTTTTAAAGACTTTGCTCGAACAGCAGGAACATTGTCCATGACCGGACGCGTCAGAGAGTCCTCCAACGTTCTCATCTTGTGCGAACGTTTGAGCTTCAGCAGAAGGTAATCTGAGTCTGGAGATAGTCCTCTAATACATTTGGCCCAGGTAATTTTTGCCTTCCACAGTCGGTTTGGAGAGTACCAGCTGCTTTGATTTCCTTTCTGAAAGGCCGACGCTGATTTTATTTTGAATTATTCTCTAACTCATTCTTATGATCTTATTACCTTAAACATAACACAACGAAAGATGTTCGAGACAACCGTTTGTATTAATTACTGAGTACATTATGGAATTTTTCACTTCGTCGCCCATCTTCCCTGTGTAGCCTGAATCTCAGTATATTTGACAGAATACATCAGAAGTTTGGTGAAACAGTTCACATTGCTTTAGTTGGCACCAGTGATGAAGACCTGCTGTCGGTAACGGAAGTAGATGAGCGGAAGTGAAGCGAAAGAGAGCCTCTAGCTAAACCGATCAAACGATAAAGATAATGAGGAACTCAGACCAAACAATGCAAAGGGAAATGAGTCACGGAGAAAATTCAAACAACAGAATTGGGTTGGCTTCTTACATCTTCGAAAATCTTCGGAATATCTTGAAATGAAAATGAAACAGCACTTATCATCAGGATAAATTTATGTTTCGTGAGGAACAAACCAACAGTAACTCCTAAAACGCATGTTAACGGTCAAGTTCTATAATCACATCAAAAATAAGAGTTTTCTCATTAAGGTCCTACGAAAAATTACGAGAGGGGATTGGTATACTTCAACCATTGACAGTGAACAAACCAATGCTTAATGGCTCTTATATTCAAAACGTTTCTCGCTTTGGAACCATGCAGTAGCCTCAGAAGGGCTGGGGGACAACGCAAAACCTGGGAACACCTCGTCGAGAAATATTCGTTTGCAAAAACATATATGGCTTTTAACAGAGTAGTAGATGTAATCTTTTATCAATCTGCAGTACTAATTTTAACGGTCTTAAACCACAAGTCTGGTTATAACATTGACTAGCATGTCGCACTGTGGAGGAAGTTAAACTGAGAATTCTTTTAGGTGATAGACAACTCTTTCATATGTTAAGTGAACACGTAATATGAAATAGGAAATGTTGAAATGGGGGGGGACTCATTAGCTTTAGACACACACAGGATCTGCTCGGCGGCTAACAATGACGAAACAGCAGGAAAGGATGATGACTCTTGTGTATGAGTGAAAAGCTCAAAAGATTTGATACGGATTACAGGAGACAGAATGGCGTCTTCACACAGCTTGTTGACCAAGATGTCCAAATCTTCGCAGAGTGATGTTGCTCCAAGGCCTATATTTATAAATTTATTTCTGTTATGACGTTAACAAACTGACATCTGTTAAGGATTTTCTATTTGCACATTTGTATTTATGCGAGTCTGCTTGGAATGAGACACCGTTCCGAGGTGCAGAGGAGCAATTGGAGGTAAAGAGGTAGTTGCGTCAGAGCCTCCCTAGAAAAGCTTCGAGTTGGCAAAGTCACATGAACCTCTCAATTGGAACGCCATTTGGCCGGGTTGAAGGGCAAATAGAGGCTCTATTCGAGACGCCTGACAAGTTTGGATAGTAGCCACAATAATTTGTCAAGATCGAATGGAACGGGAAGTACGAACTAATATCACCCACAATCCCCGGTGTATACTCGATTCACACTTCGACGGACTGCATAGCACGACTGACGGATAAGCAGTCTTCAGCAGTGACGAATTGGTATCCAAAGGACTGACAGATATCAGTTGGAAAACCTTGACTAAGATGGAACGATGAGGCAACAGAGACATGTGGAAGCTTATGGCGATAAAGCGCAAGAGATAGACACACACAGATATGGAGAGTTAGCAATGGTGACCTTCGTCAATTACGAGGAACCATCAGTCAGTTGTTATTGTTAGTTGTTGTTCATAGTAGGAGATTGAACTTCAAATAGACCAGCAGCACATAATAATTTGTAAATTAAAAATGGTCATTGATATAATCTTAGCCGTTAAAGTCATTCTAACTCACCACCATATTGCAAAGCAATGAAAACCTCTTTGTAGCCCCATTCCGTCGATACTGGTGGCAGTAAAACGTATATTAAGTATACGATGTACTAAACAGCAAGAACGAGGGTAGAACTGCGTACAATACATCTGACTTCGACATATAGTGAGGGTTAAATGGCAGGATAGTATGTGAAATGACTCTCTTACTTTTCGGGTACAGGGCAGCTCGATAGATCGGGAATTAAAAAATGGACGTTGGCCCTGTGAGACCAACTGGTTCAGCGTATACCATTTATTCCAAGCCGTGAGCTTTTTGTGGAATCCGAAACATGGCTAGGTTGCCAACATGCACCAAGAAAGAACACCATTGAAGCAAGTTGCTTTCGAAGAAGAATGATGTTTCTATAACCGATGCCCCATACCTCATGCTGGTAATGCTCTAGATCAACGGACTATAAATCAAAAATGTTCTGCTTACGCAAAAGTTTCAATGGGATTATTTCAGCAAACATAACAGAATAAAAACATATATTCTAAAGAAATTATGAAAGAATTAAATGCCCTATAATTGTCTTCCATTTATCATTTAATTGGTTTATGATGGATTAAGGGACAGCGAGTCCGTCTTTAAATCCAAAGCTACATTCACAACGGTCTTGCATCTCATGATAATCCGTCATGTGCCGCGAAATTACGGGAGCGGCTGTCTTTCATCAAAGACAAACATAGGGTGCTGCTTGTAGGGTGGATGACGAGCCTCCGTTGATGACTTGTTTGCTTATTTACATGGCAACCGAAACGTTTAAGTGGTCATCGATATAGAAACCGAATCTACCAACGAATACGGGAGACAGAACAGCTCTATCGTAAAAGCCATGCAGAGTTATTAGATGTCTTTACGGCGTAAAAACAGTAGCAGCGCCTAATTGATTGCACAAATCCCTCTTGTCTATTCATTCTGCTAATTTCAGGGCTGAATGATTAAGTTTGACGCGAGTCGGCTGCTGTATGCAAAAACATTAGCACCGATCAATCATCAGTATCCTTAATTTGCAGAAGATCCGTAAGTATGAAGCCAAACGTAGGTATTGGTCTATCATGCGATAGGTGAATTGGTTTGTATCGTGTTTAGGTACACAGTAGATACGCATTATTTCTCACAACGAAGTGATTCGTGTCATTGGCCAAAACAAGTGTAAGTGAAGCAACGACGGAATAACAGATTCTACGACACCATGATCAGCGCGAGGTAGCTCTAGCATATGAAGTGATTCGAAATGCATATGATACTGTACTACTCCTTGCTCTAATCGTCCATTAAATCATCTAAGCAAGCCACAGCCCAACTGCATTTGAGCATCTGAGTCAATCTGAGGGCTAACGGAAATCTTGCGATGAGCCAACATCGACAGGCTGGTCATTCGTCTGCTCTGGCATTCCACAGTGAGACTTGCTTGTAGGCTTGCTTGCTCGTAATCATCTGACAAGAAATGGATGGACAAGAAGCTAAATTCGAAAATTCGTACAATATCATATGCACTATCGCCAACAGGTCTTCGATGGTTTCCTCGTCTCAGGAGCATTGTCTCTGTTTAAATGTATCAGTGCGTATATTCAGTGTTTGCAACTAATTTGGCAGTCGAAGTTCGGTGCTATGCCAAAATGCTATTGCAGGCAAACATTTTAGCTCTCATCTACTGTCTTTCTCATAGTCATTATGGAAGCAGTTGCAATAAGACGATGGCACTGTAACGAATCTCTTACGGTAAGAGTAGATGCTGTGGACAGTAACAAAAAATGACCTTCTGGCTTAATACACAAAGTTTCGACCAATTACGCAAAATGGGCTCTGCTCAATCTCTTACACACTGACCAAGATATATGTACACTTAGTGGCTATCGATTGGCTATCTAAAACAGCCTGATCAGGAGGTATGGTCAGCCGTTATGGAGATCTTTTCTATTTTTGGCCAATGCTCACTACAGTTTCCGATGTTACTATAAATTTGCTAGACTACATCTACAT